ACGCTCCCCCCCTAGCGCTGCCTCGCAGGCAGCGCCGCGCCTCGCGGGCACGTCTCCCCGCTCGGCGCTCTCGGCACGGCTTCCGCCGTCGCCTCGACTCGTACCGTCAATTAGGCAGCGCCAGCCAACGCGCAGGCGCTGCCTTCGCGCCCTCGGCACGGCGGCTCGACGCCCCTCCGCCGGGCCTCGGGCACGTGAACGCAGCCTCGCGGCTGCGGCGGCGGCAGCCAAGCTGCTCGCCTCGACATGGCTCGGGCCGGCGCCAGCGTGGCCGGCTCCATCCGCCATCGTGCCGTATTTCGCACCGTCTCACGATTCGCCCACCGACACGCTGCTCGCGCGTCGTCGTGTGTGGCGTCGAGCGGGCGCCCTCGCCGGCCGCCACGCTCCCCCCTAGCGCTGCCTCGCAAGCAGCGCCGAGCCTCGCGGGCACGTCTCCCCGCTCGGCGCTCTCGGCACGGCCTCCGCCGTCGCCTCGACTCGTCCCGTCAATTAGGCAGCGCCAGCCAACGCGCCGGCGCTGCCCTCGCGCCCTCGGCACGGCGGCTCGACGCCCCTCCGCCGGGCCTCGGGCACGCGAACGCAGCCTCGCGGCCGCGGCGGCGGCAGCCAAGCTGCTCGCCTCGACATGGCTCGGGCCGGCGCCATCGTGGCCGCCGCCATCGCCATCGTCCCGTCTTTCCCCTACCGTCTCACGACTCGCCCACCGACACGCCGCTCGCGCGTCGTCGTGTGTGGCGTCGAGCGGGCGCCCTCGCCGGCCGCCACGCTCCCCCCCTAGCGCTGCCTCGCAAGCAGCGCCGAGCCTCGCGGGCACGTCTCCCTGCTCGGCGCTCTCGGCACGGCCTCCGCCGTCGCCTCGACTCGTACCGTCAGCTAGGCAGAGCCAGCCAACGCGCAGGCGCTGCCTTCGCGCCCTCGGCACGGCGGCTCGACGCCCCTCCGCCGGGCCTCGGGCACGTGAACGCAGCCTCACGGCTGCAGCGGCGGCAGCCAAGCTGCTCGCCTCGACATGGCTCGGGCCGGCGCCAACGTGGGCGCCGCCATCGCCATCGTCCCGCCTTTCGCACCGTCTCACGATTCGCCCACCGACACGCTGCTCACGCGTCGTCGTGTGTGGCGTCGAGCGGGCGCCCTCGCCAGCCGCCACGCTCCCCCTAGCGCTGCCTCGCAGGCAGCGCCGCGGGTCGCTGGCACGTAGCCCCGCTCGGCGCCCTCGGCACGGCCTCCGCCGTCGCCTCGACTCGTACCGTCTGTTAGGCAGAGCCAGCCAACGCGCAGGCGCTGCCTTCGCGCCCTCGGCACGGCGGCTCGACGCCGCCCCTGCTGGGCCTCGGGCACGCGAACGCAGCCTCGCGGCTGCGGCGGCGGCAGCCAAGCTGCTCGCTTCGACATGGCTCGGGCCGGCGCCATCGTGGCCGCCGCCATCGCCATCGTCCCGTTTTCCACCTACCGTCTCACGACTCGCCCACCGACACGCTGCTCGCGCGTCGTCGTGTGTGGCGTCGAGCGGGCGCCCTCGCCAGCCGCCACGCTCCCCCCTAGCGCTGCCTCGCAGGCAGCGCCGCGCCTCGCGGGCACGTAGCCCCGCTCGGCGCCCTCAGCACGGCCTCCGCCGTCGCTTCGACTCGTACCGTCTGTTAGGCAGCGCCAGCCAACGCGCAGGCGCTGCCTTCGCGCCCTCGGCACGGCGGCTCGACGCCCCTCCGCCGGGCCTCGGGCACGCGAACCCAGCCTCGCGGCTGCGGCGGCGGCAGCCAGGCCGCTCGCCTCGACATGGCTCGGGCCAGCACCAGCGTGGCCGCCGCCATCCGCCATCGTGCCGTATTTCGCACCGTCTCACGACTCGCCCACCGACACGCTGCTCACGCGTCGTCGTGTGTGGCGTCGAGCGGGCGCCCTCGACGGCCGCCACGCTCCCCCCTAGCGTTGCCTCGCAGGCAGTGCCGAGCCTCGCGGGCACGTAGCCTCGCTCGGCGCTCTCGGCACGGCCTCCGCCGTCGCCTCGACTCGTACCGTCAATTAGGCAGCGCCAGCCAACGCGCAGGCGCTGCCTTCGCGCCCTCGGCACGGCGGCTCGACGCCCCTCCGCCGGGCCTCGGGCACGCGAACGCAGCCTCGCGGCTGCGGCGGCGGCAGCCAAGCTGCTCGCCTCGACATGGCTCGGGCCGGCGCCAACGTGGCCGCCGCCATCGCCATCGTCCCGTCTTTCTCCTACCGTCTCACGATTCGCCCACCGACACGCTGCTCGCGCGTCGTCGTGTGTGGCGTCGAGCGGGCGCCCTCGCCGGCCGCCACGCTCCCCCCTAGCGCTGCCTCGCAAGCAGCGCCGAGCCTCGCGGGCGCGTAGCCCCGCTCGGCGCCCTCAGCACGGCCTCCGCCGTCGCCTCGACTCGTACCGTCTGTTAGGCAGAGCCAGCCAACGCGCAGGCGCTGCCTTCGCGCCCTCGGCACGGCGGCTCGACGCCGCCCCTGCTGGGCCTCGGGCACGCGAACGCAGCCTCGCGGCTGCGGCGGCGGCAGCCAAGCTGCTCGCCTCGACATGGCTCGGGCCAGCACCAGCGTGGCCGCCGCCATCGCCATCGTCCCGCCTTTCGCACCGTCTCACGACTCGCCCACCGACACGCTGCTCGCGCGTCGTCGTGTGTTGCGTCGAGCGGGCGCCCTCGCCAGCTGCCACGCTCCCCCTAGCGCTGCCTCGCAGGCAGCGCCGCGCCTCGCGGGCACGTAGCCTCGCTCGGCGCCCTCAGCACGGCCTCCGCCGTCGCCTCGACTCGTACCGTCTGTTAGGCAGAGCCAGCCAACGCGCAGGCGCTGCCCTCGCGCCCTCGGCACGGCGGCTCGACGCCGCCCCTGCTGGGCCTCGGGCACGCGAACGAAGCCTCGCGGCTGCGGCGGCGGCAGCCAAGCTGCTCGCCTCGACATGGCTCGGGCCAGCACCAGCGTGGCCGCCGCCATCGCCACCGTTCCGTATTTCGCACCGTCTCACGATTCGCCCACCGACACGCTGCTCACGCGTCGTCGTGTGTTGCGTCGAGCGGGCGCCCTCGCCGGCCGCCACGCTCCCCCCTAGCGCTGCCTCGCAGGCAGCGCCGAGCCTCGCGGGCACGTAGCCCCGCTCGGCGCTCTCGGCACGGCTTCCGCCGTCGCCTCGACTCGTACCGTCTGTTAGGCAGAGCCAGCCAACGCGCAGGCGCTGCCTTCGCGCCCTCGGCACGGCGGCTCGACGCCCCTCCGCCGGGCCTCGGGCACGCGAACGCAGCCTCGCGGCTGCGGCGGCGGCAGCCAAGCTGCTCGCCTCGACATGGCTCGGGCCGGCACCAGCGTGGCCGCCGCCATCCGCCATCATCCCGTTTTCCACCTACCGTCTCACGATTCGCCCGCCGACACGCTGCTCACGCGTCGTCGTGTGTGGCGTCGAGCGGGCGCCCTCGCCGGCCGCCACGCTCCCCCCTAGCGCTGCCTCGCAGGCAGCGCCGAGCCTCGCGGGCACGTAGCCCCGCTCGGCGCTCTCGGCACGGCTTCCGCCGTCGCCTCGACTCGTACCGTCTGTTAGGCAGAGCCAGCCAACGCGCAGGCGCTGCCCTCGCGCCCTCGGCACGGCGGCTCGACGCCCCTCCGCCGGGCCTCGGGCACGTGAACGCAGCCTCGCGGCTGCGGCGGCGGCAGCCAGGCTGCTCGCCTCGACATGGCTCGGGCCGGCGCCATCGTGGCCGCCGCCATCGCCATCGTCCCGTTTTCCACCTACCGTCTCACGATTCGCCCACCGACACGCTGCTCGCGCGTCGTCGTGTGTGGCGTCGAGCGGGCGCCCTCGCCAGCTGCCACGCTCCCCCTAGCGCTGCCTCGCAGGCAGCGCCGCGCCTCGCGGGCACGTAGCCTCGCTCGGCGCCCTCAGCACGGCCTCCGCCGTCGCCTCGACTCGTACCGTCTGTTAGGCAGAGCCAGCCAACGCGCAGGCGCTGCCCTCGCGCCCTCGGCACGGCGGCTCGACGCCGCCCCTGCTGGGCCTCGGGCACGCGAACGAAGCCTCGCGGCTGCGGCGGCGGCAGCCAAGCTGCTCGCCTCGACATGGCTCGGGCCAGCACCAGCGTGGCCGCCGCCATCGCCACCGTTCCGTATTTCGCACCGTCTCACGATTCGCCCACCGACACGCTGCTCACGCGTCGTCGTGTGTTGCGTCGAGCGGGCGCCCTCGCCGGCCGCCACGCTCCCCTCTAGCGCTGCCTCGCAGGCAGCGCCGAGCCTCGCGGGCACGTAGCCCCGCTCGGCGCTCTCGGCACGGCTTCCGCCGTCGCCTCGACTCGTACCGTCTGTTAGGCAGCGCCAGCCAACGCGCAGGCGCTGCCTTCGCGCCCTCGGCACGGCGGCTCGACGCCGCCCCTGCTGGGCCTCGGGCACGCGAACGCAGCCTCGCGGCTGCGGCGGCGGCAGCCAAGCTGCTCGCCTCGACATGGCTCGGGCCGGCACCAGCGTGGCCGCCGCCATCCGCCATCATCCCGTTTTCCACCTACCGTCTCACGATTCGCCCGCCGACACGCTGCTCGCGCGTCGTCGTGTGTGGCGTCGAGCGGGCGCCCTCGCCGGCCGCCACGCTCCCCCCTAGCGCTGCCTCGCAGGCAGCGCCGAGCCTCGCGGGCACGTAGCCCCGCTCGGCGCTCTCGGCACGGCTTCCGCCGTCGCCCCGACTCGTACCGTCCGTTAGGCAGAGCCAGCCAACGCGCAGGCGCTGCCCTCGCGCCCTCGGCACGGCGGCTCGACGCCCCTGCCGGGCCTCGGGCACGCGAACGCAGCCTCGCGGCTGCGGCGGCGGCAGCCAAGCTGCTCGCTTCGACATGGCTCGGGCCGGCGCCATCGTGGCCGCCGCCATCGCCATCGTCCCGTTTTCCACCTACCGTCTCACGACTCGCCCACCGACACGCCGCTCGCGCGTCGTCGTGTGTGGCGTCGAGCGGGCGCCCTCGCCGGCCGCCACGCTCCCCCCTAGCGCTGCCTCGCAGGCAGCGCCGAGCCTCGCGGGCATGTAGCCCCGCTCGGCGCTCTCAGCACGGCTTCCTGCTGTAGCTCCTCGCTCGCCTGCGACGCCTGTGGAGTGCGCTCGTATCGGTAGAGGAGCGGCAGTGCGAGACCCGCCGCTCCTCTACCTCACGACATGAGAAAGAAGCACGAACCTTCACCTTGTGAGACCGGCAGTGGAGAGCCCCTCCCGCCTTCCCGATCTACGGGCCGCCAGTGGCGATAACGGCCGCCGCTCGGCCTCGACGGACAACCCGAGTGAAGGCGAAACGCCATATCGCCGCGACGCCGCCGACGGCCGAGGACGAGTCCGAATGGGACCGTCACTCACTCAATTTGGGGATCCTCCACGCGCTGCGCTACGCTTCGGAGTCGCTCACCCCGGGATCGCTCCTTCCCTCGCTCCGGATTGGGGAAACTCTGAGCTCCCTCCGCGTACGCTACGCTCCCTTCGGAGAGAGCCCCAGAGTCTTACCGCGCTCCGGATCCTCTTTAGCCCATCTCTGAGAGTTAGAGTGACTGGCTAGAGACGACGACGACGATACAGTTCATGATAAACAAACTTTAGTTTGTGCTAGTGAACTGAGGAGAAGCGGGTCGAGCCTCGGCGCAGAGGGCAGCGCCTAGCGGGCGGGAACCCTTACCCCCGCGCCCGCCGCTGCCCGCCGCTTTGTGCGCGGGACATCCGAGCGCCACGAGGCTCCGACACAGCTCCCGACTAGCGTCGGCTCCTGCTCAGACAGGCGCCAACCTATCAGTTCTCAAAGCGACCCACCACCATCCCTCATCTACCGCCCGATCGAATCGCATTCGTCTCTTGCGAGTCCTCTTGCTCCAAGAGGTTCCAGAGAACGGGGAAACTCTGAGCTCCCTCCGCGTACGCTACGCTCCCTTCGGAGAGAGCCCCAGAGTCTTACCGCGCTCCGGATCCTCTTTAGCCCATCTCTGAGAGTTAGAGTGACTGGCTAGAGACGACGACGACGATACAGTTCAGAGACCTCGAAAAGAATTTTCGCTGGGAAGGAAGCCTTGGTGGAGTATAGGTACGAGGGTGGTGTGGCATCTCTTGCGGGTCTCGCCAGGGGCGCCTACCAACCTCGCTTGCGAGGGGCGTGTGGCTTGTCTGAACGGACTCGTGAGGGGAGCCTGCCAACCTCATTCGTCGAAGCGGCGCTTCGCTTCACAACGACCCCGCCGCAATCGTCGCCGGCGCGCGACAGGCTCCCGTCGGCCGGACTGCCCTCGACGAGTGGGTGTCGCCAACCAAAGCGACACGCACTCGAGGGTAGTGCCGACGGGACGCGGCTCGAGGGCGACTCTCGCGAAGGCACGGCTGGCAACCGTGGCGCGGGGCTCGCGCTCGACAAGACCGGGATCGCTCTACCGGCAAACCTCTCGCTGACATGCGCGCACCGTCGAGCTGACGGCGGGCGCGCTGAGGTCGCACGCCTCCCAAGTCATATGCCACGGCGTGCGATCTAGAATCAGCACACGCGCCTCTGCTTGCATACACTCATACATTGGATTGTCATTGCCTGTGAGTGCGAGATAAGGCTAGCGGTTGGCGGCTAGCCTCTGAGGAGAGTGACCAGAGACACCTCACAAGACCCCACACACGGTCTAGTCCGGCCTCGCGGTCGGCGGAGATTGCTAGAGGCCGAGCAAGCCTGCTCTAGCCTCACGCGTTCGCCCCTGTTGTCTGTTGTTTGTTGTGCCCTTGTTTGTTTCTCTTGGCACCTGGGAGTGCTGGGGGGGGCGATAGGGAGAATGTGGCCCTGAGTTATGTGTACGCCAACTCAGGGTGTGTGGCAGCCAGCTGGCTGTGTGTCTTGTGAGCCTGTTTGTGTCTTTGTGTCGCTCGTGCGTGTCGTCATCATCTGTCCCGCGTCCACCCATACCGCGTTCGTGTCCAGTCCGAGCCTGACTGTTGTTCATCTTTCTACATACATACATGGGGAAGACGACACCGAGGAGGACGAACCAGTGGAAATCCCGCCGTCAGCTGTCACGATGCACCCGAAGGGGACCCCAGCGCCAGCATCAGCCGTGGAGGTACAAACAAGTGTCCGATGAGTGAGAGAGTGGACCTGAGCAACGATATGACTTGGCGGCAAATGATCGCAGTGGGCGTCAGAAGAGTCATCCTTGCGCGAGGAGAGCTCGATAAACTCGAGGGGCCAGGATATGCCGCGAGGAGGGCAGAGTTGCTTGCGCCGAGAGGCGAGAGCAAGGGATCGGCAGGCGGCGGCGTCGTCGCAGAACGAGGCAGAGGGGAGCGAAGCGGCAGAGGAGGAAGCGACAGGAGGGAGAACGACGAGAGTGGGACGACCGCGAGGTGGCATGAAGGTTGCAGCGAGAATCGGCGAGGGACTGCGAAGGGAGATAGAAAGAGGCAGACGACCAAGGATTAGGGTGGGCGACGGCTAGCACCACACTCCTCTCCTTAATGGGTTGTGTGTTTTCTTTCTTTCTTTTTTCGGGGCATCCCTCCCTTGGCTTGTCTGTTTTCTTTCTTTTACGGGGCACGGGACTTGGCGCGCACTGGCACTAACACGTGTTCGTGCCTCGAAAAGAACTGGGAGCACAAGGATTCGAAAGGGACAGCGTGGTTGTTCTCTCTCCCTCCCCCTCTGGCGATCTAGCTCTTAGCATGACCTCCCCCCTCCATTTGCGCAGCAACACCTGAAAGCTCAAACTTTTAGGCCCTCCGAATTCGGACCGGAGCGTAGTGGAGTGGGCCCCGAGTTAAGGGCGACGGACGCTTGCCACATTTCTTGTTGGCTTCTAAAAATCTCTCTCTCTCTTGCGTCCTACATGTACATGTGCATGCGCATGTGCATGCACATGCACCTAGCCTCCATCAACGCCTCTCCCCGGCGCAGAGGGGCCTCCGGAGGGATGCTCAACCGCTTCACGCCACGCCGCTTGCGGCGGTCCTAATAAGCACTTGGAGCACTTGGAGTGCAGTCGGTAGCCTCACACCCAGGAAATTGCCCCTGGGGCATGTATGTATGTAGGAAGGTGAAGAACAGCCAGGCTCGGACTGGACACGAACGCGGTATGGGTGGACGCTGGACAGATGATGACGGCACGCACGAGCGACACACAGACACAAACAGGCTCACAAGACACACAGCCAGCGGGCTGCCACACACCCTGAGTAGGCGTACACACATAACTCAAGGCCACATCCTCCCTGTCGCCCCCCTCAGCACTCCAAGGTGCCAAGAGAACAAGCAAGGGCACAACAAACAACAGACGACAGGAAGTAACATGCGAGGCTAGAGCAGGCTTGCTCCACCTCTAGCAATCTCGCCGGCCGGCGAGGCACGGACGAGACCGTGTGTGGGGTCTAGTGAGGTGTCTATGGACGCCCTCCTCACAGGCTAGCTGCCTACTGCTAGCCCTATCTCGCACTCACGGGTGGTGACAATTCATTGTATCAGTGTATGCGAGCAGAGGCGCGTGTGCTAAATCTAGGCCGCACGTCGTGGCACTATGACGGAGGTAGACGTGCGGCCTAGACGTGCGGCCGCAGCGCGCCCGCCGCAGGCTCGGCGGTGCGCGCGTGTTAGCGAGAAAGTTGCGGTTAGAGCCATGCCCGACTTTTTCGAAGACGAGCCCCGCGCCACGGATGCCAGCCGTGACCGGCACACACTCGACGAGGACAGTCCGGCCTACGGGAACGTGTCGCGCGCCGGCGACGGTTGGGATGCGGCGTGGTGGTTTCGTGTACGAAGCGAAGATGGCACGACCACCGCCCTGCATCGCAGACCGGGCAAGGAGGGGCCTGCTCCCGTTCCGCGAGAGGAACAGGAGGTCTCCCCCCCTCCCCCGGCCTGAGCAGCTACGGGTGGAAGGCAGCCCCTTGAGTCGAGGGCGGCGCGACCACTGCCGAGCTCCAACAGCCAAAGGCCTGGGCGTCTGCTGATGGTCGCGCCGCCCCGCTCCGCGCCGCCCGCCGCCGCGCCGCGCCGCCGCCCTCTAATTATTAATTCATTAATAACTAATAATTATTATTACCCACCCGCCGCCGCGCCGCCCCGCCCTGCGCCGCCCGCTGCCTCGCCGCGCCGCCGCCTCGCGCCGCCCGCCGCCGCGCCGCGCCGCCGCCCGATGATTAATAATTAATAAATAATACTCGATCATTAATAATGTGTGTGTGTGTGCGTGTGTGTGTGTGTTTGTTTGCGCGATGGCAGGGAAGGGCAGGGCAGGCACGAGCCGCAAGTGGCGTCGGCGACGCGGCGAGGACACGATGGTGACGCCCACAGCGCAGCGTGCGCGGCAGCAGTGCCGCCGGCGGCCCCACGCCGCATCAGCTGCGCTCTGAGTGAGTCAGGCTGCGCTGCACAGCCTGCTGAGCACGTTCCCGACGAGCGTCGCGCCACGCGGGTCCGCCGCAGGCGACGCGGGCGGCGAGCCGATGCGCGTGTCGTAGGCGTAGGCAGCGCTGGCGAAGCGAGGCGGCCGGCGCCGGCCCCCGGAGGCGGTTGCAGCGAGAGCAGCGAGGTAAAAGACACTGTTGAAAGGGTGGGGAGCGGCCTGCCGTCGAGCAGCACGCCGCGCAAGCCCGCTGCCGGCGACCCGATCGAGAGCTCGTAGTCATGGAACTATTCAGCGCGCCATCGCGCCCGAGGCAGCCCGCCCTGGCTCTGTAGGCCTTCCCAGACAGCTTGGCGAGGCTGTACAGAAGGCCCAGAGCATGCTGGGCAGGCTCCCGTCGAGCGACGAGCCATGCTGGCTCCTCGCGGGCGGCGAGCTCGAAGACCCGCTCGGAGCTTCGCCCAGCCCGGCGAGCCCGCCCGCACGCCCGCGGCCGCAGACATGTAAGACCAGCTTCTTGGCGTTTCCTTCCTGCCAGCGCTCACACACATGCCAAAAGACACCTCGCAGCGCGCGTGACGTGACCGAAGCGGCACGCCTCGGCGCCGCGAGAGCAGCCGGTCGACGTCGGCACCAAGCGCGCGGCCGCCGGGCGCCTCCGAACCGACAGGGGCGCCGCGGCAGTAGAGAGCACTCCACTCACATACATTGTACCGCGACCGTTTTTCTGGTCCCCGGGTGGCCTTGCGGAGGGCGGCTTGGCGCAAGGGCGGCGACCGCGAAGTCAAGTGCTCAACAAGTGCTGGAGCTCCAGCGATGGTGGTCGAGAACGCACCAAAGGCCAACGTCAAAGCGCGCATGCAGGCGCTGCAGGGCGCCGGCGACGTCAAGGATCAGCCTCCGGCCGGCGAAGAGGTTGTCACGGGCTGGCTCAAGAAGGCGGGAACCGGTGTCCTGGCATCCCGCGAGTACAATCGCTACTGCGTGCTGTACGCCGGCAAGCCCATGCATGGGTTTGCACCCACTCTGCTCTACTTTGAGGACGAGGCGCGCTCCAAGCCCAAGGGACAGACATTGCTGGCTGACGGCACCGCAGTCGAGCAGTCGGGCCTCACTGTGCGGCTCTCTCAGGCGGGCAACAAGGTGCTCGTAAAGCTGACCGCCACGACGACAGGCGATGCGGACCACTGGCGCTCGAGCCTGAATGGGGTGCTGGGCCTCGAGACCGACACGACGCCCAGCCGCGTCGAAAAGGTGGCCACGCCGCCACCTGCCAAGCTACCTGCCGCCGTACCGCCGCCGGCCAAGCCGCAAGCCAAGCCGGCCCGAGCCGACCGGCTCTCAGTCGAGAAGGCGATGGAGACGGCGCGGCTCGAGGCGGAGCGACGCATCTCGCAGGCGAGTGAGGCTGCCGAGGCGGAGGCGAGCGAGCTGCTCGCATCCGGTCGCACCTCGCAGGCCGAGACCCTACGCCTCTCGGAGGCGGAAGTGCCGGTGCCCGCGCTGCCCAAGCCGCCGACTGCCGCCGCGGCTGCCGCCGCGGCTCCCGCCGCCGATTTGGCGATCGTGCCCGAGACTCCTCGCGGCGTGCCGAGCAACTGGGACCTGCCCATCACCGCGCCCAAGCAAGTGATCTTCAGCGCGGAGCTGGGTGCGTCTCCCGAGTCGCAGCGCGACTCGCCGGCTAAGCCGACGGCGCCACTTCAGTCCAAGTCGAGCCTCGGCATGCTAGAGTCTCTCACGGACGACGAAGAGGAGGAGGCGGCCGCGGCGCTCAAGCCGCCCCCGCCAAGGCTCTCGCTCGTGTCGGCGCCCCGCGCTCCGACGCCGACGACGCCGCCCGCCACGAACCCGGGCAAGACGGTGGTCGAGATTCGCCTCGACCACGGCCGCCGCCTCTCCATCGACATGTCGTCGGCACCGCCGCCCGGCGCGCCGCCGCCGCCGCCGCCCGGTGTGCCGCCGCCCCTCACCGCGCGCGGCGGTGTGCCACCGCGGCCGCCGGTGCCGCCACCCCTCGAGCAGCCAGGCCAAGCGGCGCCAGACGTCGAAGGCCAGCCCTCCTCGACGCCCTCCCTCGACGCGCTGGTTGGCGAGCACGAGCCGGAGCCGGCCGCCGCTGTCACCGTCGCCGCGACGCCGCGTGCGACGGCGAAGCCGAACCGGCGAGCCTCGAGTAGGCCTCGCCACACCACTCGATCCTCGCCCACCCACCGCAGCAGCTTTCACTAGACCCAGCCGCATCCACCCGAGCTGCCCGCGCCGCGATGGCAAGGAGGAGGCCGTGGAGGCGTGGCGCGATCCTCTTGCCCACAAGAGGCGCACACCTGCCTCACAGGCGCTCGTCGTCCCTCGACAAGGACGATCTGATGCAGTGGTGCCAAACAACGACAGAGCACTACCCCGGCGTGCGGGTCGCCAACTTCAGCCGCAGCTGGGCCGACGGCCTCGCCCTCTGCGCGATCCTGCACGAGTACTTTCCGACCGACATTGGGCAGTTCGAGGCCCTCGACGGCAGCACGGCCGAGGGGCGCGCCGCCAACTTTGAGCTCGCTTTCGGCGTGGCGGAGCGGCGGCTGGATGTCGAGCGGCTCTTCGACGTGGAGGTCGCCGGACCCGCCCCTCGTGGCCGTGGCTCGACAACCCCCGCCTCCCATCCACTCCCTGCCCCTTCCGTGTGCGAGCCTTGGCGCCAGAGCCCCAACCACCGCGCCCCTGTTCACCTGATTCGTAGGACATGACTGCCACGTACCCGACGCCCGACGCAAAGTCGGTCATCACGTATGTCGCTATGCTCTCCAACAAGATCAAGTCGATGGACGCAGCCGGGGCGGCAGAGGCGGCCGACGCGACGGAGGCGGCCTCAAAGTCGCTCGCCAGCCAGAAGAGGCAAGGGTCCTCCTTCCTGGGCGCGATCGCCAACTTCTTTGCTCCGAAGGAGGAGAAGCAGGCGGCGCAAGCTAAGGCGGAGGCCGAGGCAGCCGAGGCGGCGGCCAAGGCGGCGGCAGCCGAGGCAGCCGAGGCGGCGGCCAAGGCGGCGGCAGCCGAGGCGGAGGCGGCTGCGGAGAAGGCGGCGGCAGCCGAGGCGGAGGCGGCTGCGGAGAAGGCGGCGGCAGCCGAGGCGGAGGCGGCTGCGGAGAAGGCGGCGGCAGCCGAGGCGGAGGCGGCTGCGGAGAAGGCGGCGGCAGCCGAGGCGGAGGCGGCCGCGGAGAAGGCGGTGGAGGAGAAGGCGGCTGCGGAGAAGGCTGCTGCGGAGAAGGCGGCCGCGGAGAAGGCGGCGGAGGAGAAGGCGGCTGCGGAGAAGGCGGCTGCGGAGAAGGCGGCCGCGGAGAAGGCGGCGGAGGAGAAGGCGGCGGCCGAGGCGGCGGCAGCGGCGGCGGCAGCGACGGCGGCAAAGGCGGCAGAGGCGGCGGCAGAGGCGGCGGCAAAGGCGGCCGAGGAGGAGACGAAGGCAGCGGAGGCAAAGGCGGAGGCGGAGGCTGCTGCGGCGGCACAGAGGGAGGCGGCGGAGAAGGCGGCCGCAGAGGAGGAGAGGCTGGCGGCTGAGGCGGCGGCGGCCGAGGCCGCTGCGGCGGAAAAGGCAGCGGCGGCAGCAGCGGAGGCTCAGGCGGCTGAGGTGGCAGCGGCAGAAGCGGCCGAAGCGGCGGCAGCTGAAGCAGCGGCGGCGGCGGCGGCGGCGGCGGCGGCGGCGGCGGAGCAGGGCAGCGAAGAAGTGAAGCCGTTGGAATCAGCCACGTCGTCGCAATCGATCGGTTTTGACGCCGGCGTCCAGCTGGCGCTGTCACAGCTGCCAGACGAGCTCAAGGAGCGTCATACAACCCTCGCCCTCGCCCTCACCCCCACCCTTGCCCTCACCATCACCCTCGCCCTCGCCACCCTCCCCCTCATCCTCACTCTCTCCCTAACCCCACCGTCCCTTAACACAGGAGCGGATCCAGTCGTCCTTTGAGAGGGGCGAGTCGCTCCGCATTGTCCTCGAGGAGCAACCCGCGCCCGAGCCGCAGCCGTCTGACTCGTCCAGGCAGGGATCGTGGCTTGGCTGGCTCGGTTGGGGCAAGAAGTCGTCGACGCCGCCGCAGCCGCCCAAGGCCGCGTGCCCGGAGCCAGAGGCGAGGGCGGTGGAGAACGCGGAGGCGGCCTCCGTAAAGAGCTACCCGGCTGAGGTCCAGAAGCTCGCCGCGTACGCTCGTGCGCAGCGCGCCGACCAGACGGGCAAGCGGCAAGCGGGGTCGGGCACGATGGCGGCGGACCACGGCGTCACCGCCGAGGGGTCACAGGACCTTGCCTCCAAGGCCGAGCGGCTCGGGAGGCTCGCGGAGCGGAGCTCGTCGGTGGAGCTCTCTGCGGCGGCGGCAGAGGTGGCTGCCGTCGCAGAGGCGCTGGCCTGCGAGGTTGCCGCCTCCGCTGCCGCCAGCGGCGCGGCCGCCGCCGACCTTGCGGCAAAGGGAAAGGTCGACGCCCTGCTTGCGAATCGTGATAGCCTTGGCCTTCGCCGCGCGCTGCTGATGGAGGTGAACGCTGCCGTGGGCAGCGGTACGGCGCACGGCAGCAGCGCTGCCGAGGTGGACGCGCTGAACGCCGCGCTCGCGGACTGCATCCGCATATTGGCGACCCACAACGAGCGGAAGGCCGCCGCCGTCGCCCCTGCCGCGTAGTCTTTGGGTGGGATGCGTTGCGCGTTGGGCCTCAGCCATGGGTGTGCAAGGCGTGAGGTGTCGGTTGTCTCTCATCGGGTCTCTCATTCCCACGCAAGGGGACCGTGGTTTTGTTGCATGCTGGTTTGGGATGGGTATTTTCTTCATAACGAGCGGCTGGTACAGCAGCAATGAGGGTTGTCTTGTCCGTAACCGTATCATGCTGAGATGCTGTGTTGCTGGCCCTTCCCCTTGCTGCTGGAGGGTGCTGGCTGCTGCCGACTAGGTCCAGCCCTGGGTGAGCCAGATCTGACGTTTTGTATCTGTAATAGATAAGATGAGAGTGAGGTTGAACCGGACCCAATCAAAGTCGGCGGGTTTCGAAGGGGGGTATGAGAAAAACGGCGGGCGCATTTGGGGACATGACTGGGAGAACTCTGTGGTGGTCGCGCTGGGCGAAATGTCTGTAAGCATAAAGATGAGAGTCGGTTGAACCGGACCCAATCAAAGTCGGCGGGTTTCGAAGTGGGGGGTATGACAAAAAACGGCGCATTTGGGCACATGACTGGGAGAACTCTGTGGTGGACCCGCTGGGCGAAAGGAGCTCGCAGACCGTTGCAGCCTCACGATGTCATTGAGCGGAGCGAGTGCGAGCGCGGCGGCCAAGCAGCGGCACTAGGAGCAGCGGCGAGCTGACACGAGCGCGCTCGTCGATGCGGCGAGGGGGCAGTATCTGAAAGTATAGAGATGGGAGTGAGGTTGAACCGGACCCAATCAAAGTCGGCGGGTTTCGGAGGGGGGGGATATGACGAAAAACGGCGGGCGCATTTGGGCACATGACTGGGAGAACTCTGTGGTGGACCCGCTGGGCGAAAGGAGCTCGCAGACCGTTGCAGCCTCACGATGTCATTGAGCGGAGCGAGTGCGAGCGCGGCGGCCAAGCAGCGGCACCAGGAGCAGCGGCGAGCTGACACGAGCGCGCTCGCGATGCGGCGAGGGTGACATCGCGTCAGATCCGTGTTTTCTCGTCTTGCGGTACATCTCTCCGCTCGCCACCTCACGCTCCGCCGTCCGGCCATGGATGGTTCGATGGAGCTCGCCGAGCCCCATCGAACCATCCAACTCCGGTCACCGGGTCTGAACGCGCTCAGCCTCAGGAGGTACCAAACCGCGCGAATTCTGCACGCCTCGCTGCACCGCTGGCTTGACTGAATCAGGCAGCAGCAGGCTGCTGCTGTTGCCACAGCAGCAGTCTGCTGCGGCCCCAATACGCAAGTTAATGACCAGCATTGCTGCCGGGGGCATTCGAGCCGCCACAGCCGGTGTGCGGCTGTGCACTGCCACCTGCCCGCGGCTACGCACATGTGCGCTCGCATTGGATGAGCCCTGCTGATGGACCTGCGTTGCCTAGCTGCACGAGAGCAATGCCGCAGGCGGCGGCCGTGGCATACACTGCGAGCACACTTGGTGCAGCTGCGAGGTGCAGCAAGAGCACGTCGTTCCTGCCTCTGATGCCACTCTCGCGGCTTGTAGCGCGTCACTCGCGCATGCTCTCCAGGAGCTATGGCGGGCGCGTGTGTGGGGCTGTAGCCTGTGTTTGGCCGGTTCTGACCCGTTTACTATCAGTACCATGCCTGGGCCACAAGAATCGCACACGGGGAGCGGCTCAGGGACCCAGTAAGCCGCGGAATCGCCAAATGTCACAACCCGGCTCACCCAGGGCTGGACCTAGTCTGCCGCGGACGGGCCACGCCCACGGCCGCGGCTGGCTGGGCCGTGTGGGCCTATGGTACGAGACGATACCCCCTGTGATATATTGATATATCGGAACTTCGACCGACCCATTTCCGATGGTCAGACTGTGACACACCAGTGATCAAGGTCTGTGTTGTGTAAATTGTATCTGTGAACTCATAGACCAGCGCGCAGCGCCATAGGAGGTATTTTTCTCTTCTCAATAACCAAGGTCTCTGTGTTTGACGTATTTCCTTCTGATATGAATTCTTTTTCCTTCGCGGCAACGCGATGGCGGCAAGGCCTCTCTGCGCGCCCGCCCTCGCCACGCCGAAGACCAACCGACGTCGGACCGCGGTGAGACCGCGCCGCCCCCCGCGCCCGCCCGCGCCCGCAGCGTGAACACATACGCGCGTCCCTCATCGCACGGAAACATACGCGCCAGCCGCGCAGCAGCCTCACATGCAGCGCCGACCGCATGCTCGCGCCCTGGTGGAGGCGGCGGCCGCTGCGGCCGAGCAGGCGCGGCAGGCGGTGGTGGGGCAGAAGGCGTCGCAGACGGCCGCAGAGATGGCTTCGATTGCGTCTGCCATGATAGTTGGGTATGCGAGCAGCGGGCGGCGCGAGCCGCTGCCCTTACACCCGGCGAAGCTAGCCAGGCCCGCAGCCCGGGTGGTGGCATGTCAACCAGCTCAAGACGGGGGTGCCGGGGGAGAGGGAGAGAGGTGGCCGAGGCCCGCTGCGAGGAAGACGCTAAGCACCATCGAAAGCGCTGAGTCCGACGCGATCTCGCTCGAGATTGCGGCCATCGAGGACGAGCTCCGCCAGTTGCCTCGCCCGGCGCGCAAGCTCGTAGCGGCGGGAGGGGGCGAGAGAGTGGTATGAGGATGTCGAGCACGTAACTCTTTTAAGCAAGTGCTCCTCGTGGGTGTGTATATAGCTGGGGGGACATATCTCCGCGACTGCCCCGCAGGACCGCACCCAGCCCTTTTCCCATTGTCCCCGTCTCCTAAGTGGGTCCCCGTCCCGGCTCCCGCAGTCCCCCCCGCTGAAACCCGCGCGGTGACCACGCGCTGTCTCGACCGCGACACGGTATATGTTGTTCAATGCCCGGGTGTTGGGGGCTGGACAACCGGTGTGGGGGCTTGAAGCTGAGCAGTGTCGCTAGTGTGAACAGTAACAGCAGAACAATACAGTGGGGCTCCCCGACAGCATGAGGCATGTGCATGTGCATGTGCATGTGCATGTGCATGTCATGTTCATGTTCATGTTCATGTTCATGTTCATGTTCATGTTCATGTTCATGTTCATGTTCATGTTCATGTTCATGTTCATGTTCATGTTCATGTTCATGTTCATGTTCATGTTCATGTTCATGTTCATGTTCATGTTCATGTTCATGTTCATGTTCATGTTCATGTTCATGTTCATGTTCATGTTCATGTTCATGTTCATGTTCATGTTCATGTTCATGTTCATGTTCATGTTCATGTTCATGTTCATGTTCATGTTCATGTTCATGTTCATGCTCATGTTCATGTTCATGTCATGTTCATGTTCATGTTCATGTTCATGTTCATGTCATGTGCATGCACACACTAAAATTTTCCGATCCCCCGTTATGTGAACGACACGGCTCTCATGCACTCTCACGGCTCGCCCTTCGACTCGCGCTCGTCAACCTGGGACTCTCGTGCGGCCAACCGTCGCCACGGATAGCCAAAGCTGCGGCTGCACCCACCTGCCGCCCACCGGCAAAAAAAAGCGCCACACGTGACTACCACCACGAGAGCTGCCAATATCCCAATCCGAGCGAGAAGTTCTGGGTCGTCCCGGTCGCTCCAGTGCGCGTCGCTGGGGGGGAAGATCTCGTCGTAGCCTTCGCGGGCCGCCGCCTTGGCAGCCGGCGTGTACCACCGCCGCGCGAAGGCGTTGTGCCCACTCCACGGTTTGTCACCGCCCGTCCAGTGGAGGGCACAGCCCGAGGCGAGCCTACCCGTCCACCAGGCGTGAAGCTGCGTCGCCCAAACCCGCACTGGCAGCAGCTCCTCCGCCTCCCAGCTCGTACCTAGCCCGCCCACATTCCAGCACGCGTCGAGCCGCTGAAAGTCGCGCCCAAAGAGAAGCTGCAAAGGCACCTGACTGCTCGGCGCGGCACTCTTGCCGCCCGGGAGCGAAATGCCCCTGTACGAGGCGAGTTCTAGGCGCTGCAGCGCCGGCACCAGCGCCTCAACCCGCTGTGTCAGCTTCTCCGCACGCCACTGCCGCAGGTTGAAGGCGGTGACGCCGGCGTTGAAGGCATCGCCTCGCAGGATGGCACTCATGTCGTAGCCCCACGCCTCGTCGAGTGCGAGCTCCGCCGGGCTGCGCAGCCGGCGCAGCCCTCGCTCCAGCCCACCGCGGTAGTGGGTGACCAGATCCTGGTCTCGGGCTACTGCAGCGAGCGGGCTCAAGCGGTTGGCGCCGGTGAAGAGGCCCGCGAGGAGGCTGTGCACGTCCGAGCGAACAATAATGTCAGCGTCGACCCAAAGGACCGAGGCGGCTGTCTCCGGGAGGAGCTCGGGGAGGTAGAACCGCGCGAGGTTGAGCGCACTCGAACTGCTCAGATTGCGGAGCAGCAGAAAGCGTTCACTATCGAGGGCGCGCACCGTGATAGAGCCCCTGCCAATCCTTCGGATTGCCTCCTTGCTTTGCGGGCTGGACTCCCCCTCGCGGAAGACATGCACATGGATGCAGTGCGGGCTGCGGCTGCTGCTAAAAATTGATGAGACAAGTGGTCCCAGCCCAAGCAACTCGCGCCTGTCTGCGCCGACTGCAACATGTGCAAGGCCGTTGCAGGCGCCAGGCGTCAAGCTCTGCCGGGAGTCGTTTGCGCCACCCTGCATGTACCTGGGTCCGGTGACATGGAAGGCAGTCGCTCTCGGTGGCATCACCTCTCGCCAGCTGTGCCGGTGGGATCTTGTTCACGCTGCTGACAGGGCTGCGGTCCCAAGGGCGGTCGCGGCGTTTCGCTGCACCCACCTTGCTGAGATGCATCCGAAGTTGGATTCCGGCCCTTCCGCTCGGGTCTGAAATCAACCTGACGACGCCTGTGGGTCGTGGGTTGCGGGTTGAGGGTTGATGAGGCCCCTAGTACCTTTACCCGCTAGTTGAGGGTTGAGGCCCCTTGTCAACCCTAGTTGGACACTCACTCCATCGTTCGTGTGTGTGTGTGTGTGTGTGTGTGTGTGTGTGTGTGTGTGTGTGTGTGTGTGTGTGTGTGTGTGTGTGTGTGTGTGTGTGTGTGTGTGTGTGTGTGTGTGTGTGTGTGTGTGTGTGTGTGTGTGAATGAAGGGGGGCGAGTCGCCTCGTCCTGGCCTCGTCACCCGACCCTCCCGCCGCCTCGCCGCTTGCTCGCCCACTCTTCCCGACTTTCTACTTCTTCTTCTATCTATCTACTTCCTTCCCGTTACGGCTCTCGAACTAAGGCGCGACACTGCGACCTCGGCGAGTGCAACCCCAACCGCGCAGCGAACCCCGGCTCGAGGCAACCGCGAACCGGGCCGACGGCCGAGAGTAGAGGGGCAGAGGGGGGCTAAAACTCAAGGTGTAAGGTACGGTGCGCGGGCTAAACCCGGATCCTGCTGAACAAGCTCCTCTTGTAGCTCGATCGGTCACACCGCCATCACCGTCGGGGAGAGGGGGGGCGACACTGCTTCGGCAGCGTGCACCTCGATCCTGTACCGTGTTTGTTATGACCCCCCCCAAAAAGCAAAATGAACACACCAGTGATGAGCATGAGGGAGCGGGCGAGACGATCGAGGGCGGAGGGGTCCCGTACCAATGCGGAATCGACCCATCTCCAGTGCTCAAGGTGTGGCGACGGAATGCTTGTTGTCGCCTTTAACCGACGCATCAACAAATTCTTCTTGCGTTAATATACAGTACACTCGGCGCCGGACAAGTCGGGAATAGAGGGCAGGAGGCAGGACACGGTATAGTCGGAGTCGCAAGTCTGGCTGCTGGCTGGATCGCGGTGGTGACACAGGGAGGACGACTGAGGAGAGAGCGCACAAGGGGACACACGACGACCACCCACGCTCGCAAAGCGGGGGAAGAACTCGAGAGACGGGCAAGAAGAGCGCACGTGGGGACACACTCCTCACTCGTCACTCCCACACCTTGCCCTCAAAGGATCCCTATTCACACGCCGAGCCGTGAAGAGCGTCTCCACGCCGCACCGCGCATCACCGAGGGCGACCGTCGAACGCAGCGTCGCCTTCGGCGCGTACGACTCCTTGAGCTCCGCGCCTGCGGCACAGAGAGAGGCGTTTGTGGTGTCTGCGTCTCACACCCGTGACTAGACGGAAGTGGGCAGGGGGGGGGGCACAGAGGGTGCGGAGGAGCGGGTTGGAGATGTCGTCGGGGACGTCCTGCTGGCCGGTGAGCCAGCAGTACAGGTCGGGGTTCTCCATCTCGATGATCTCGGCAAACTGCGTCAGCTGCGGGGAGGAGGGGACAGGAGGCGCGCCGGAGGGCGTGGCAGAGGGGAGAAGCGCGGGCGCGAGAGTGGAAGTGGCGCGGACAGCGGGTGTGGAGTGCGGCGGGTGCGGCGGCACATCGGGGAGGCGGCGGCGGCCAGGGCAGGGGCGGCGCCTGGTCTTCCGACAGGTCTGCCAGCCGCGCCGACGCCCAGCCTCCAAGCATGATGTCCATCTCGAGCCTAGGTAATAGAGAGGGCCGGCGTTCGATGCCGCCCGACAGACTCGCCGGCGAGGACGGCTGCGGGCGACGGCACCAGCCGCGCTGCTTTGAGCGGTACAGCAGCTGGCGCCGCCGCTTGTCGAGCGCGTCAAACTTGCCAGAGTCGGCCGTGGCCTGCTGGTTGCCCGCGGCGGAGCCCGCCACGGCCCGCGCCGGCAGCCGCACCGCCGCCGGCAGCGCTCGTCGCGCGATCGGAGCTAAACGGCTGGATCTACGCAGCATCTTGCGGTGGTAGCCACGGTGCGCCGGCACGGCTCCTCTCCACCCCGCGTCCGGTGCTGGGAAGTTTCCGAAGAAAGAATTTAGCTCTGGTTGTCCGTTCTTCCAGTCCCGTGCCCGTCGGGATCAGGCAGAGAAGACGAAACGGTGGCGGGGCCGCGGCCGAAGAAGGCTAGGAGGGGAGGCCGGGCCCCGCGCCCGTCGGATGATCATCGGAAGGCGAACAGGAGGAAGAACTCAGAGGGAGGAGAGGGGAGACTCCTCCGGAGTGAGGATGAGGACCCCGAGCGGTGACGTCGTGTGAGAGTGTGTGTCGTGTTCAGGTCTGGTGTCCATTATAGCTCCGAGTAGAGGGGGCGGTCTGCTGCTAGGGGAAACCCGGAGCGCGGAGCCAACCCTCGGAGACCCGTGTTTACTTTAAGGCCCTTTCCCTGCGAACGCGCACCCCCGGGGCTAGGGCTCTCTTGCCCGCAACCCGATCCCGATCATCCGGCCCGCTGGGTATGCTTCTTAGCTCCCCGGCCCTGGATGTGAGGCTGCCAACTGCACTCCAAGTGCTCCAAGCACTAGGCTTGGCGTCGCCCTTAAAATCCCTGTGTGGCGTGCCGTCCTCCCATCCCTCGGTGCCATTTTATTTCTTTTCTTTGGCGTCGCCATCTCTTTGGAGATGCCTGTTCTTGCTCTGCCTCGCAACGACGGATATCGTCACCAGCCTCCCGTCCGTCGGGCACCGTCAACAACCTGCTCTACAACGACCTCGACGATCCCGCCGTGGCGAACTGCCTGGAGCCGCTTCCGCCAGCGTCGCCACCGGCACCCTCCCCGCCGCCGGTTCCGGGCGCCACTTGCGACCATGCGCAGCCCTTTGGCGACGGCGTATCTGGAAACATCTTCTCCTATGACGTCCCAACCACCTCGGGCGGCATCGGGCCGCCCAGCTACGATGCGGGCCTCTGCCCTGGCACCGCCTTCACTGGCACCGGGTCGGTCTTCTGGCTGCGCCTCGACGACGTCCGAGCGGGCGTGGCGCTCGAGCTCAAGTCTTGCGGCTTCGATACGGACCTCTCCGTCTTCAAGGGCTCCTGCGGCAACCTCGAGATGGTAGAGTGCGACGGCGATTCGGGCGGAAACAGCGGCGGCGCTCCCTACGCATCAAAGCTCAGCTTCACGCCCACCGATGGTGTGCACTGCTCTGGGTGGTCGTCGGTGGCTGGAATGGAGCGGATGGGTCGGCGACAGTGACTGCCACGTATTCGGGAGCAGCCTCGCCGTCGCCGGGGCCATCGCCATCGCCCTCAGTGTCGCCCTCTCCTCCGCCTCCGTCGGCGTCGCCGTCCCTGCCGCCGCCCTCCGCCGCGCCCTCTCCGCCGCCTCCATCCACGTCGCCTTCCCCGCCGCCGACCCCACCGCCGACTCACTCCACCGTCGCCGCTGTCGCCTCTCCTACCGGGGGCGTCTCCGACCCCACCACCGTCCCCTCTGCCGCCACCGGACGCCTCGCCCTCGCCGCCACCACCCTCCGCCTCTCCTACCCCGCCGCCGCCGGCGCCGCCGCCCAACCCACCACCTACTCCGTCGCCCAGCCCGCCGCCGTGCCAGGGAGGCTCGTGCTTGCCGGGCTACTGCTTCGCCACCTCGGCGGTCGCATCCAAGGGCGTCGTTGTCCCCAAGATTGTCGGCGGCGTCGATATCAACCCGCCGAGGCTGTACCAGTTTCTCGTCCACCTCGGTGGCTGCGGAGGCATCCTCATCGCCCCCGAGTACGTGCTCACCGCCGCGCATTGCGCGCCTTACATTCCGGTCGGCCATGAAGTCAAGATTGGCCAGCACTATCGCAATCCCCCCTCCCCAGACGCGTGTGTCGAGACCATGCACGTCGAGTCGATCGTCTCGCACGAGTCGTACGAATCTAGCACGACGAACAACGACGTTGCGCTCATCAAGCTGACGGGAGTGAGCCAGTACGCCCCGATCGACCACCTCGACCAGCCCGGAGATGGCACCTGGCACGTCGACGGCACCGACCTCGTCGCGGCGGGCTGGGGCACGCTCTTATCAGGCGGCTCGTCGCCCAACATCGCGCAGCACGTGACGGTCCCGACGGTGCCCGACTGCGCCGCAACTAACTACGGCAACCAGTACAACCCCGACACGATGGTGTGTGCCGGCGCGGAGGGGTCGACAGCTGCCAGGGCGACTCGGGCGGGCCGCTCTTTGGCATCGACGGCTCGGGCGAGCGGACCCTGGTCGGCGTCGTGAGCTGGGGCATCGGCTGCGCCGGGGCGGGCTACCCGGGCGTGTACGCGCGCGTGCAGGCATACACTGCCTGGATCTGCGCAAAGACGGACGGCGCGGTCTGTGGATTTAACCCGCGGCCGCCACCCGCGCCGCCCTCGCCGCCGCCTGCTCCCTTGCCGCCGCCAAACCCAGGCAGCACGTGCGACCTCGCGGTCCCCCTCGGCGACGGCTCCTCCAATCTCTTCTCGCTCGATATTCCCCAAGTGTCAATCGGCGAGGGACCGCCAAGCTATGACGGCGCCGGCTCTATCTGCTGGGGGACCGCCTTCACCGGCAGCGGCAGCGTCTTCTGGGTCAAGCTCGAGGATGTGCGGCCGGGTTTGGCGCTCGAGCTGCCTGCAGCGCCTCCGGACCCGACTTCATCGACACGGACCTCTCCCTCTGGAAGGGCTCCTGCGGCAGCCTCGAGCTGGTAGCGTGCGACGGCGACTCTGGCGGAACCTGCAGCGGCGGTGACTACAGCTCCATCATCGGCGGAGGCCCCCGTCGATGAGGCCAGAAAGGCAGTGGGGGAGCTCACCGGCTGGGTCCCCGCTGGAGGGCCGTGCACACGAAAAAGTCAAGGACGCAAAGCGGCAGCAGCAGCCGCGTCGCCGCGACGCAATCAATCCCCCGGCACCGCCACACAGCAAAACTACGAGCATGTCCGTGTACGGGCCCGTAACGAGCCCCGTTACCATGCTCGTAGTGTACGGGCCCGTAACGAGCCCCCGTTACCATGCTCGTAGTTTTGCTGTGCACCGTCGGCTGGACCACGCGCCGACGAAAAAGAAGAAAAAGTTGGGGTTGTCGGTGAGTAGGAGGTGTCTTGGAGGCGGTGTCTGCGCCTCGTAGAGCTCGAGGAAGGAGAGCATCACGCGGTAGTCGACCTGTGGCAGGCAGGAGGGGGGAGGGGGGGAAGAGTCACTCGACTGCCAGGCCGAGTCGCTCTGCGTTCCAAGAGGGCCCAATGATACTGCTCACTGCCGCGGCCCTCGTGCCGCACGGGTTCGTCTTTGCGCGCGCTGCGCCCGCCCGGGCGCTGCGGCGCTGCGGCGGCAAGCTGCCCCGCGCGGCTGCGCGCCTCTCGGGCGGCGCCGCTGCACCGGCTGCTGCGGCGACGACGCGAGTGGTGGATGACATCGTGAGTGCGGCGCTCGACCGGCGCTCGTATCGGTGGGTCGAGCTCGACTCGGGCCTGCGCGCGCTGCTCATCTCGGACGCCAACTCGGACAAGGCGGCAGCGGCGCTCGAGGTGAAGACGGGACACTTTGACGACCCAGCGGACGTGGCCGGGCTGGCGCACTTCACGGAGCACATGATGTTCCTCGGGACGGAAAGCTTCCCCGACGAACGCTCCTTCAAAGACTTCATCGGCCGGCACGGCGGCTCGTCCAACGCCTTCACCGGCATGGAGTCGACCGGCTACCACTTCGGTGTCAACGCAAACGCCCTGCCAGAGGCGCTCGGACGCTTCGCCTCCTTCTTCGCGGAGCCGCTGCTGCGGGAGGACTCGGCGCGCCGCGAGATGCAGGCGGTCCACTCCGAGTTCCAGCGCAACCTCCAGTCTGACCAGCGGCGGATCTTCCAGCTGCTCAAGTCGACCTGCGACCCGGTGAGCGGAGTAGGGAGGACAAAACCGCGGCGGGTTGCAGCCCGCTGTCCCACAGCTCCTGCCGCTCTCCCGCTTCGCCCCTCGTGTAACTTCTCTGGCTCGAATGTCGACACACCACGAGCATCGCTCAAGATCGCGAGGTCTCAGTCGGTGCCACCACCTCAGTCGTGCCACCACCTCAGTCGGTGCCACCACCTCCCCTAGGCGCACCCATTCTCGAAGTTCCCGACGGGGTCAGGAAGTGTCTAGGAAGTGTCTAGGAAGTGTCTAGGCGCACCCATTCTCGAAGTTCTCGACGGGGTCGCTCGAGACGCTCGGCGGGGCGGCGGCGGCGGCACGCGGGGCGCCGCACGAACTCGTCCGCTCCTTCTTCGAGACGCACTACGAGCCGCGCCGCATGACCCTCTGCGTGCTCGGACAGCAGCCGCTCGACGAGCTCGAGGCGCGATAGACAGACATATAGGAGAGGCGAAGCACAGCCTGGCCGGCGACTGGACGCCGGCGCGGGAGGGGTGGAAAGGGCCGGGGCTGACGGCGCACATGGAGCGACACACAGGCGCACCACACAAGACACTCAGCCAGGCTGGCTGACACGACACACGTCCGTACGCCGCAGGAGCTGGTCGGTAAGTCGTTCGCCGGCTTGGCAAGGCTGGTCCGCTCGCCTCTGACGGCCGGCGCGGAGGCGCTATCGGCGGGGCCTGCCTTGGAGGGCGCCTCGGCGGGGGCCTTCTCAGCGGAGGCTGGTTCGGAGAGGGCTTTGGGGGATGGTTCAGTGCAGAGTGGCTCGGGGCACGGGGGCGCGGCGCTCGCGGGCCCGTTCACGGCGGCTCAGCGCGGCGGTCTGCTGACGATGGAGCCGGTGCGCGAGGCGAGGATGCTGCGGCTTCTGTGGGAGGTGGAGAAGGAGGAGGCGTACGTGCAGTCGCGCGCGACGCGGCTGGCGAGCGCCGTCCTCGGCAGCGAAGTCGAGGGCTCTCTGCACTGGCTGCTCACGCGGCACCTTCGGCCGCCCCTCGCCACCTCCGTCTCCGCCGGCGTGAGCTACTCCTTTTCCGACTCGTCTCTCTTCTCCGTCGCCGTCTCGCTCACGCCCGAGGGGCTCGCGAGGCACGAGGAGGTCTCGGAGTTGGTGTACGGCGCAATCCACCTGCTGCGCGAGACGGCGGCGGCCGCGCCCTCTGGCGGCGGCGGCTTGCCTCCGCACGTGCGCGCGGAGCGCGCAACGATGGCGCGCCTCGCGTTCGAGTTCGCCGATGAGGCGGAGCCGCTCGGCGTCGTCAAGGCTCTCGCCTCGCGGATGCACACGCCGGGGCTCGCCCCCTCCCAGATCCTCTCCCGCCCCTACTCGTGGCCCGACGAGGCGCGCGCGCACCCGGCGCCGCTGCGCGAGCTGCTCGAGCTGCTCACGCCGCGCCGCGCGCTGACGCTGCTCGTCGGCCCGAGGCCCGAGACGCGCCTCGAGGCGCCGCTGCAGGAGCGGTGGTACGGGACGCCCTACGGGCTTCAGCCCGTCGCTGATGAGGTGCTGACACGGCTGGCCGAGGCGGCCCCTCACCCGGACTTGCGCCTCCCGCCGCCAAACCCGTACGTACCCGACTCCTTCCAGCTCCTTGAGCCGCCGCCGCCCGCCGCCGCCGCCGCCGCCGCCGCCGCCGCCGCCGCCGCCGCCGCGCCGCCCGCGGAGGAGGGGGGTGGGCGGAGGAGGCGCCGTGAGCCGACGGAGCTGGCGAGCGGCGCTGCGGGCGTGCGGGCGTGGCACTTGGGCGTGGGAGGCTTTGCGCGGCCAAAGGCGTCCGCGCTCGTGCTGCTCCGCACGCCAGCCGCCGCGGGCACGGCGCGGCGCGTCGTCCTCTCTTCGCTGGCAGCAGAGCTGCTCGACGACACGCTAGGCAAGACACCTCCCGGACACCTCCCAGACACCTCCCAGACACCTCCCAGACACCTCCCAGACACCTCCCAGACACCTCCCGGACACCTCCCAGACACCCCCCAGACACCTCCCAGACACCTCCCAGACACCTCTCGCCTCCGTCGCGCCACTCCCTTGGAACGGAACTCTCCTCTCGAGCAGGCACCGCGCTCGCGGCGGCGCCAGACGCAGGCGCCGGCTGGTCGGTCGGCGTTCACCCCGGCGGGCTAGTCTTCCAGGTGGGCGTCCCATATCTCCCCATATCTCCCCAGATCTCGCGGCGGGCTAGTCTTCCAGGTGGGCGGCGTTAGCTCGGCACCTCGTCGCGAATCTCGGCTGCACGTCGTCGGCAATATCTGGCACCCTCTCGGCGGCAATCTCTCTGGTCAGCACCTCGGCGGCAACATCTCGGCGGGCACCAATTTGGCGGACTCTTGGCGGCACCCTCTCGGCGGCACTTCGGCCGATCTCAGCCCCTGCTCGGCCTCTGCCAGGCGAGCGGGTACTCCCAGCGCGTGCAGGGGCTGGCGCTGGAGCTGCCAAAGGCGCTCGCCTCGCTCGAGCTCGACGAGGAGCGCTTCAGCCTGCACCGCGAGCTGCTGCTCAAGGCGCTGCGCAACCGGCGAGAGGAGAGGCCGCTGTGGCAAGCGCAGTACGAGCTGTCCTTCGCGATGTCGCGGCCGACACCCCGCCCCTCCAAGCCCGCGCCTCGAGACCTGTAGCCGTCTGGGAGCCCTCTCGGACACTATGTAGGCCGACCGTCCACTATGAGCACGCGCTCGCGTTTGCGGCGGACGACGGCGCCTGCTCACTCGCCGCGCTCCGCTCGCACCTCGACGACCTCCGCGCCGCGGGCTTCGTCGAGGCGCGCTCCCGTGCCGAGAGATTGCTGCAGGGAGATTGCAGGGAGATAGCAGGGAGATTGCAGGGAAGAGACCGCCGAGATCGCTTCCGAGGAGGTTGCGACCGGCGCCGAGCGGCGTCTGCAATCTCGCGCGATCTCCCCCCCCCACAGGCGCTCGTGCACGGCAACGCGCTTGAGGGCGAGGCGCGCACCTTCAGCGAGGAGTGGGCGGGCGCGCTCGGCGCGGCGCCCCTCGAGGCGGACGCCGCGCCGCTGCCGCAGACGCTGCCGCCTGCCGCGGCCTCCGAGAGGCCGGAGGCGTCGCCGCGCGCGCGCCGGTGGCTCGAGGGCGGCGCGATGCGGCTGCGGAGCGTCGCGTCGAACCCGGGCGAGAAGAATTCGGCCATCGAGCTGCACCTGCACTTGGGCGAGCTTGAGCTCGAGCGGCGTGGAGGAGGCGCCGTCGAGCCCGTCCCCTCCCACAGCACTCTGCCGTCAACAGGCGAGCTCGAGCCGCGGGAGGAGGCGCGGCTGCGTCTGCTCGCATCTGTCGCTTCCAAGGACGCGTTCCATTGCCTCCGCACTGTGCGGCGGCGCCGGGCCGCGTGCTCCCGTGCGAGATCCGCCGAGGTGAGCCGAGATCGGCCGAGATAGGTGCGCCAGTTGGGCTACGTCGTCCAGTGCGGCGTGCGATCGATGGGTGCCGCGCGCGGGCTGTCTGTGCTCATCCAGAGCGCCGTCGCCTCCCCGACCGAGCTCGAGAGGCTCATCGAGAAGTGGCACGATCGTCTAGCCAGTGTTGTCTCATTCTCTCGTCGTTTTGTCTAGGCACATCGAGGAGTGGCTCGCCGAGTTCCGCGCGACCGGCCTGGAGGCGCTCACCGACGACCGCCTCGCCGACACCGCCTTCGCGCTGTCGAGCAACCTGCTCGAGCCGCCGCGTTCGCTCGCGCAGGAGGCGGCCCCCATTTGGGGCGAGATCATCGAGCAGACGCACCGCTGGTAGCGCGAGCACCTCGAGCGGTTCCGCTGAGCGGCGACATGGCGTGGGTCACCTCCGATTGACTGTGAGCAGGCAGCGCGAGGTCGAGCTCGCGACCGAGCTGAGGGCGGTCAACAAGGCGGAGCTGATCGCCCTCTTCGACGAGCACTTTGCGGCCGCGGCACCGAGCAGGCAAAAGGCCGTGTCGCTCTGCTACTCGCACCCTGACGCCGAAGCCGAGGGCGTGCCGTGCGAGCAACAGTAGTCGAGTGTGGTAAATAAATAAATAAATAAAACGGGCAAACTCTGAGACGAGATGGGATTTAGGGACATGTGTCCCCGCCCTGCACGATCTTGGTGTGAGGGATCTTCAATCCGTGTCCCCTCACCCCTCGTCACAACCCGACACGGAAGAGCGGCAAGAGTTAGGGCTGCGGCTACGGCTGCGGCTATGAGAGGGGCCGGGGTCGCGGGAGAGCCGCTGCGCCGCGTGGACGCGCCTACACCGCGCTTGCTCCGCTCGCCACCTCTCGCAAAGGTCCAAAGCCATAGCCACCACCTCCTCCAGCAAGTCCTTTCGCCGTATCTCGCCGTCCCTCCACGCCTGGAAGAGCTCGTCGTCATAGCCGTATTGCATCACAGCCTGCTGAACTGCGTCGTGTACGACCCCTGCCGTCCTATCCTGCGCCTCAGCGTCGGAAAAGTCGAACTCGGAGTCATACTCGGAAGCAGGCACAGACGGCCGCGGTGATTTGGCAGGCGGCGAGGAGGGGGAGGGGGAGCGCGGTGGTGCGCGCTCGTGGCTCCCGCTGGTGCCAGAAGGGCCAGCGCCCAGCGCACTCAGCCTGTTCTTGTTCACCTTGGGAGAGGGGGGTGGGGGTCCACCTCCCTTGGGTGCGGGCTGGCGGTCAGGCTTGCGCTTGACCGCCTTGCCCGGCGGCTTGCGGCCAGGGTTCCTCATTCGAGTGTGGTGGTGACGGCTGACAGACTATATAACTGTATACGTGTAAGAGCGCGTCGGGCTGGTGGTTCCATGCCGAGTTGAACGTCTAAAACCCTTTGGGAGGCTTGGACCGTTGGAGTGCGTATTGGAGTGCGGGGACGAACCTAAAATGTAAAAATACGACAGGGCACCGCGCTCGACAAGTTCCACATCGACCGCTCGAGGTGGCCCGAGCTCGCCGCCGATCGCTCGGCCTGGCGCCAGACGCTGGAGAACAGGCGCCCGCCCGACGCCTTCTTTGCCATGCCGGCGAGGGCTAGGCCGCCCTCCCCGCGCATTGCGCGCACTAAACCAGTGCGCTCATGCTTGGCGAGAACCAAAGAATGCAGCGATGGACATCTCTCGCTGCAGGCGCTCGCGGGGTCGTGAGTGGGGGTCCCCACTGCTGCCCCTCTGACTAATACTTTTGTCTGTGGTGATGCCTTTCCCTGAGAACGCACACAACGCCTCGTGTGCAATGCCCTGTGTTCCGCGAGTGCATGTGCCCCGTCGTCCATGCTAGGACGTGTGTAACACTGACTGACTGCACTACATATATCCTCAGATCCCCATCCGTGCATTAGCGCTATACTGGAGGAGCATCGATCCTGATCGGGCGGGGTGGACGTGACATAACACATAACAGCCGGGCCGGAACATCAATTGATTTTACATGATCATGAACCCACTTTCTACCGAAGCGTCGAGTCGTTCTTGACTAATTGTGCACGCCGATCACGGGAGAGCTAGGCCCAGGTCAGTAAGGCCGAGCGAGCGCGCAGACGCAGATCTTATAGTTCAGCCCAATTCATCTGCTCGAGCTGCCTCAGGAAGCCACAGTTGGGCTGCGCACACGGCCGCTGCAGCTTGACGGCATCGAGCGCGTCGGCGAGCGTCACCCCGGCCGCCGCCGCGCCGCTGCACCCGCCCGCGCCGCCACCGCCGCCGCCGCTCACGCCGCTGCCGCCGCCGCTCGCGCCGCCGCTCGGCGCTCCCGCGCGCATGAGGTGGGCGCAGACGACGCTGACGGAGCGTGACGCGCCGCGCTCGCAATGAACCAGCACGCGCCCGCCGCCGCGCAGCGCGGCTTCGATGAACGGAGCGGTCTCGCGCAGCACAGGCGCGAGGTCGGCGTCGTCGGAGTCTGGAATCTGGCAGAGCAGGTGCTCCCGTCCAAACGGCGGCTGCAGGTTACGCTCGACGACGCTGACGACGTGCGTGATGGCGAGCTTGTCGAGTGCGGCCTCGTTGGCAGAGGCGGCCGAGCCGAGGTAGAGCTTCCCCGGGATGATCTCGTTGGGGTAGGCCGCCGTGCCGAGTCCCGGCTCGAAGAGGAAGGGGTGGCTCGCGTGCAGCGCCGCCCGATCGACGCAGGCCACCCGCGTGCAGTGCTGGTCGAGCAACAGCTGCGCCGCCTCGGTCGCCCGGTCGATCGAGTCGTGCAGCAGCAGCGCCGACTTGGGCCGGTCGGGCGTGTACTCGCTCAGCACAAACGAACGCGCAGCCTCCACCGCCACAAGCAGCGGCGCGTCTTTGCAGCCGGGCAGCACGCCAATGCTGCCGGAGCCAGGCAGCCACGGCCCGGCCGCTTGGCAGATGTCGATCAGAAGGATGGACTCGTCGCAGCAGATGTTGTACGCCTCGTGCGGCGCGATGAAGGTGGGCACGCCCGTGGGGCGCGTCGGGCGGAGGAAGAGGCGGGGGTCGGACATGGAGCGGAGTTTAGCTTGAGCAAATGCAGTAATTTGTAGAACAGAGACAGGAAGAGGTTGTCGTCGCGTCGTGTCTCGTGGACGTTCCCGTCACCGTCGTTCACATTCACAGGTTGTTATACATAGAAGGCGAAACGCACGGCTACTCACACGCTCTGCTGGGTCGTTCACATAGAAGGCGAAACGACGTGCACGGCTACTCACACGCCTGCTTATTAACATCCACCTGAACCACCGCTGCTGCTTTATCTCATCATATCCACGTGTATCTCCTGGTATCTCCCGGTATCTCCCGGTATCCCGCCATATCCCGCCATATCCCGCCGCGGATACCGCGAAAAGAATCGGCCACACCAGGGATGGTGGCGGCGTGAGCGGCGGCGGCGGCGATGTGGTGGAGGCGGAGGGCGGCGGAGGCGAGGGCGAGGTAGAGGGCGGCGGCGGCGTGAGCGGCGGCGGCGGCGGTGTGCCCCCTGGTATTCTGGCTGGCATTAAGTAAGAGGTGGAGCACACAAACAAACAAAAAGATCTGCATACCGCAGAACCATAAGTCATCAACGAAGTCTCGCTCGCAAAAGGGGGGGTAACCGACGCGATCGACTGTGTTTTTTGCGCTACTTGATGTCGGAGAATCGGCGCGAGGGCGGAACTACCCGGGTACGGCTTATACGGGGTCGTCGAAGTACGGGGTGGTCGAAGTATTGCCGTTGCCGGGCCTGTCGAGTCAGGCACCAAGGGCTTTTGGCCGGCGAAGTCGCAGATGGCGGAGCGTTCCGTGGGTCAGCTCGGAGGCGAGAGGAGCTTGGTGTCAAACAAAGAGTTCCAGTCAATCGCATATGGCTACCCGCAGCGCACGGCCAAAAATCTGCTCGACGAGTCGCCCCTACCGCCCGCGCCCGAGGCAAAGGTTGTGGTCATTCGGCTGGTCGACGCGAACGCCCTCGCCCTGATGGCGTTCGGGTTTAGCACGTTGATGTTTGCCGCGTTCCTGTGCGACTGGAAGGACCTTGGAGACAGCAACTCGGACCGCTACGGCTTTGCCTACATCCCCGATATGCTCACCTGGGGCGTCTCGCTCAGTCTGACCGTTAGCGGCATTATCCAAGGGCTGAACGACGACCTGTTGGGCTTCTCGTCCTACCTGTTCCACGCGGCCATGCTCGGCACCATCGGCTACAACTTTGAGGAGAACCTCCTGGGAAACACGACGACGAGGTCCAGGAATATTAGCCACAGCTCCTCACACCACGATACCAGCAAAGCTCAAGTCCCCGAAGCGACGGGGGGTGGCGGCCACACGCGGGCAGCATACACACACGACGAGGCACTCGGAAGGGGCTGAAAGTGACACATCCTGAACGCAGGTTTGACATGATCGCCTGGTTATGTTACGCCGCGACTTGGATCAATCTGGTGTTTGCTCTCATGGCCGTCAAAATCGCCGCCCTGTTTGGCGTTCTGTACCTGACGGTGGCGAACATGTTCTTCTTTGTCGGGCTCAACTTCCACGGCGTCTTTGACCACTACGGTCCGCAGGTGGGCGGCAAGATTGCCGGTTCGATGTGCTGCATTGTGGCGATGCAGTGCTTCTACCTGTTGCTGCCTGTGCTCACAGGCCGAGGCTGGCTCATTCTTCCTTGCGAGAAGAAAGAATGATGCGCGGGCAGACCCTGAGCTTCGAAGCTGAGCAGGCGCGCTCTCGCGTGGAGTGATTGCACGCACCTCGTCTATAGCTTTCCTGTGGCTGTGTGGCCAGGCCAGACAGCTGACACGTGACAGGTATCAGTAGGGGGTGGACAGCGCCCCAAAATCCACCAGTGCGGGATTTCGCGCAATCGCTTGACTCTGAAAAGCTCGCATATCCCTGCGGTGAGCGCTGTGCCTGTGGTCGCCGCAGACTGGCTCCGACTTGACGGCGGCATGGAGACGTGATGCCTCCCCATGCCGCCGTCGAGTCAAAATCGACATGCGATTCGATCTTTGGCCCGCCAGAGGACAAACAGCGCTGCGACCGCGAACGGTCAGTGTCAGCAGTCTACTTGGGTTTGTCCGGGAAGAAAGAATTCCTAGAATCATGCATAGGCAAGCCTTCTGCGAGGAGAGCAGAGTTACGCAGAGAGCTGGCGAGAGAAGCGCAACCAGGCATCAGGAGAGAGAAATTTTTAGCAATGTTGGCATTAGCAATGTTGGCATCAGGTGAGCCGCAAACTGACTTTTTTCCAGACTTCACCCAGACTTCACCCAGACCGTACACAGAGAGGAGCCCGAACCCTCACGCTGGTTAGCGAAGCGAACCAGTTCCAACGGCAGCGGCAAAACCAAGAAAGAAAAACCGAGCTTAGGACAACAACACGCGGGCGTCAGGATTCGGACACTTAGCCACCAGGGTAATAAGTTCTCTAATATGGGAGCTCATAACTAAATAAATCACGCCGCATGCTGTGCACCCTTTCCGCGGCCATTTCGCTTGCGCCTCGGGATAAAATCTGCGGCCGACCTTCACAGCTCACAGCTCACCTCACGAGAGATCTCAGACGGACGGCCGGGGCACCCACGTCGCGGCAGGTTGGATCGTGATACCTCTGATCATCTCTCGCCGACGATCGATCGGACGGCGCGGCGTCGGCCCCGTGCCGTCTGTCGCGATGTTCTCTCGCACGGGCCACAGCCTGCTCGATGAGAGTCAGACCAGGTACGAGGGCGGCCGCTCGTCGCCGGGCGCGCCGCACCTCCAGATGCTCATGACGCTCTCGATGGGTGTGCTGGTCGGCGCGGCTGCGGTTTTCGGCGCAAGCCGGTTGAGCTCGGCTCCCGTCACCGCGGCGGTGGTTCCCGCCGGCGAGCCGAGCACGGAGCTCACGGGGACGGTGTCGGCGCTCCGCACCCTCGTGGCCGATCTTCAGACCGAGGTCGGCGAGATGAAGAGGCAGAAGGAGCAGCGGAGCACCAAGGCGGCGGCAGGGCCGGAGGCGCAACCCGCAGCGGCCACGTCGCTGAGCGAGAAGGGCTGGATCCCGTCGATCCCGTTCCTGCAGCCCGCGGCGCTCCCCTCCAAGTGAGCGACGCCCTTCCCCCCCACACATACACGCAAGCACACACACACACACACACAACACACACACACACACGGCGCACACGCAGATACATCGTGAAGCACACGCCGCCGGTGAAGCTGCAGCACCTGCGCGGCGCGTGCTGGCTCTTCGGCATCTCGGGCGTGCTCGAGGCTTCGTACCGCAAGCAGGGCATCGCCTACGGCTTCATGCAGCCCGACGAGTACCTGCGTCTGACGGAGCAAAACTTGGGAGCGCAGATTGAGTCGGCCTGCCGCGCCACCACAAAGTACTGGAAGCTGGGCTCGCTGAACGACAAGGCGGTGTGCTTCACGGGTGATGGCGACACCGCGTGGAAGGGCAACTCGACCGAGGGCGGCGAGGCCGAGTGGATCTGGTACCTCAAGGAGTGGCTGGAGGACACCATGGCGCTTCCCGAGTCGGTTTGCCCGTACCTGGAAAAGGAGGAGGGCAACTCGAGCGCCATCTGCGTGGGCTCCGAGGCGGCGATCAAGAAGTCGGCGCTGAAGATGAAGATCAAGGGCATGAAGGCCTACTACGGCCTCGCCGACCTCAAGAGGTCGATCTTCGAGAACGAGCGCTACCAGGCCTTCTCGATTGCTCTCTTCGGGCAAAACTACCCGCTGCCGTGCACAGACGCCACCAAGGACTACTACAAGTGCGACCCTGCGGGTCCGCTGTGCACAAAGTGCCCGGCCGAGGCCAACTATGCGGGCGTGGAGTGCTGCGTCCTGCAGGCGCGCTTCGGCACCAACATGAAAGGCGAGTTCTCGGGCGGTCACGGGGGGCAGTTCACGGCGGCCGGCGGCCACGCCGTCGGCTACGTCGGCTGGAACGACAACTTCTTCTCGTCCCACGGGTACAAGGGCGGGCTCATCATCAAGAACTCGTGGTGGGATGGGGTGCCACCGCCGGGCATCGTGTGCACCGACCCGACCGCGCCGTGCTCCGCTGGTCGCGGCTCGCACACCTAGAAGCTGAACACGTATTCATGTACCTTAGGTATCCCAACTAGCGCCCAGAGGACACGTATTCAGCCGTATTCGGCCGTATTCCGCTGCATTCACAGCATGCTTCTCCGTCGTATCCACGCGGTGCTCTTCACACACTCCACAACACCGTCTTCCCGCCCTGAGGTTGGCGTCTTCAGCACGTAGGCTCGCATAGCCTCCCGTACTACATGGAGGAGATCTCCTCGGTGGCCGAGCGCGAGATCTGCCCGAACGTGCACTCGCCCGCCTCGTGGTATGCGTGCGCCGACATCGCAACGTGCACCTCGGTCGACTCCAACATCTCCGCGGTGGCCACGCGCAAGGTGCTGCACCTCGAGTGCCTCGGCGATGGCGACCAGTCGCCGTACGTGAAGGGCATCTGCAAGGCGGGCGAAAAGTTCTTCTTCAAAAACATGACCGACTTTGGCTCGGGGCTCTCGGTCGCGTGCATGGTCAAGGGCGACGGCTCGGGCGACCTCTGCCTCCCGCCGCTGTGGGACGAAGACCTTGCGATGCTCTTCACTCCCGTACCCGAGGAGGACAAGCCAAACGACCCGGACCAGTGCGGGTATTACTGGTTCCCGTATGACATCTATGGCAAGGTTGCGGCCACCATGGAGAAGTCGTACGGCGTCGACTTTGACATCGTGTGGCCCAAGTCGGCGTACGTCAACGCGCCCAAGTACTTCAAGGACGTCGAGTGCCCTGGCTGCGACTACGAGGTGATCAAGAAGAACACGCACAAGCAGCGGACGCCGCCCTTCACCGGACCCTTCCCGACGCTGCGCGAGCCACTCAAGAAGGAGTGAGCTGTGCGAGAATCCGGCGCCGCACACGCGTTGTTCTGCTGTGACCACGCTGTGTAGCTGCACGTTGCCATTTCGGCAACTGCCGCGGTGCACCTCTGTCGGTCGCGCGTGAGGTTGAGTTGTGGCCTTTGGTGCGGGGCAGAGGTGGGCGGTGCCGGTGGGCACGGTGGGGGGGGGGTGGGCACGGTGGGGGGGGGCATGGATTGGAGTGATGTGTGCTCGAGGTCAGATCGAGGTCAGGGGAGATACAGATAGAGATCTGAGAAGTGAGATGGGTTCATTATCGATTATGGCATATAAGATAATATATGCGATATGTGGGGGATATTATCCGGATATGGGGGGGGGGGGACCTTGCCGCGTGGTTGTGCGCGTTGCGGCAGTTGGGAGCGATCACGAATCACGTGTGGTCCCTTCGTGTCCGTGTCTCGTTCGATGTTTTTGAGATATGGCGTATACAGAAATATCTGGAATGTGTGTGGTTCTGGGGTTGTGGTCCTGTTTCACACCTCCTGACAAGTCTCAAGTGTCATGGACACGTACACGTGCAGGTCGTGTGGGCTCTCTGGCCTCTGGCTCTGCGCGCGCGGGTGCGGTGGCTGCAAGAGCCCAGCAGGGTGCGGGGACGTACAATGGGGAAGTGATTAGCCCTGCGCTCACATGGACTCGATCTGCTCGGCGGTCACCTCGGCGTAGTGCTCGCTGTACTTGGCGAGGTGCGCCTTGAGGTCCGCCTGCTGCTGCCGCAGCATCCAGGGCGGCTCGTCGAGCACGTCGGTGAAGAGGTGCTTGACATGCGGCTGCGCACGCTTCTCCGCGTCGTTGAGCGCCTTGATGGACGCGGCACGCTCCGTCTTGCGCAGCGCTGTCTCCTCCTCCGCCGTCCACAAGCCGCGCGCCTCGAGGAAGCGGCCGAAGCGCACGATTGGCGAGCGCGCGTCCCAGTACCTACGTGTGGGATACGCCGACATGAGGGGCGGGAAGACGGCACTCACGAGTACAGTGAGTGCAGCGGAATGCAGCGGAATGCGGCGGAGTACACCGGAGTACGTGCCCTCTCGAGTGCTGGTTGGGAGACAAGAACACGTCTTCCGCTTCTAGGTCCGCCGCACGCCCGCTCGCTGTCGTACCCCTCCTCGGGCGAGTCGGCGCGCCTGTACTTGGAGTCGTCGTCGGAGGTGGAGTGCGCGCCTGGCCGAGCAAAGGCGTGTTCAGCCAGTCAGTGGGACACACGCCCAAGCACAGACGACGGGGCACACACGCACTCGCGAAACACACGGGGCATTGCACACGAGGCGGTGTGTGCGTTCTCAGGGAAAGGCATCACCACAGACGCACGTCAAATCGTCAGAGGGGCCCATGCCGAGACCAGCAGAGCTAGCTAGCGACCTGCGCTGGGCTCACTTGCCAGCTAGTGAAGACCTGTGCGCTAGCTAGAGCTCGCACTAGAGGCCGTCCTCGCATTCGCCTTCACCTGGGACCCAGTGCTGCCTTCTGACTGCCGTCGCTGTCTCTCCCTTCTCGACTGTCTGTGCGTGTGCGTCTTGGGTCCCGGGGTTGTGTGCTTGCGCCAACAGCAAGCGGTGGGGCCCAGTGCTGCCTTCTGACTGCCTCGACTCGCCAGAGCGCGACCGGCGGCTCATCGGGTGCCCTCTGGCCCCGTCAGTCAGTCAGTGTTACACACGTCCTAGCATGGACCCTCTGGCCCATCTCGGGCAATCTCGGGCAATCTCCGCGCCGATGCGGTACGTCATCGCCTCGATGAGCGCGGGCTTCCCCTCCTCGACGGCGATGCGCCGCGCCGCCCGCGTCGCGGCGTACACAGCGAGCAGGTCGTTGCCTGAGGGGGAGAACGACGGGGGGAACGACGGGGGGGGGGAGGGGTGTTCCGACGGCGAGTCGGTGCGGCCCGGTGCAGTGCATGTTGGCCGCGGACGTTTCGGGTGCGGAGCTGGCAGTGAGCAGCGGCAGCGGCAGCGGTGAGCAACGGTGAGCAGCGGCAGCGGTGAGCGGGGTGGGTGGCGGGGTGGCGGGGTGGCGGCGTACCGTCGACGCGAATTGTGGGCATACCAAACGCGACCCCGCGCGGCGCGATGCCGTCCGACTTGTACTGGTCGTCGGTGTGCGTGGAGATGGCATAGCCGTTGTTGCGGCAGAAGAAGATGGTCGGGCAGCCGTGTACGGACGCGATATTCAGCGCCGAGGGAATGTCTAGAGAGACGAGAGAGACGTGTACGGACGCGATATTCAGCGCCGAGGGAATGTCTAGAGAGACGAGAGAGACGTGTACGGACGCGATATTCAGCGCCGAGGGAATGTCTAGAGAGAGACCAGAGCGGTGGGCACGGGCCAGCAAAACGAGAGGCCGCGAAGGCCGATGTGCTTCGAGTCGCCGCACCGTGATGATCTCGGCTACCGCTCGGCTTACCTCTCGGCTACCTCTCGGCTACCTCTCGGCTATGTCTCGGCGCACCGCCCTCCGACGCGCAGCCCTCACCAAAGTAGGTGATGGAGCACCGTCCCTTGCGCTGGAGCTTCATCGCGTAGGCGGCGCCGTTGGCGGCAGGCACCTGCTGCCCCAGGTTCGACTTGACGTACATGAGGTGCTTCTCGGGCGAGCCGATGTGCATCGGCAGCTGCCGGCCCTTGGTTGCGTCGAGCTCGTTGTGGCAGCACTGGTTGGCAGCTTCCTCGATGGTGTAGCCGCGCCAGAAGGTGGCGCCGAGCTCGCGGTACTGCGGCCACACCCAGTCGTCGTCGCGCAGCGCGGCGCCCGAGCCGACCGAGCACGCCTCCTCGCCGCGGTTCGTGAAGTAAAAGGAGAGCCGCCCCTGCCGCTGAGCCTCGTTGAAGACCTTGTCAAACTCGGAGACCTTCACCATTGTCTGCTGCATCCGCCGCATCACCGCCGGCGCTATGTCCGGAAGCGCAGCGCCCTCGACCGGCACGCCGTTGTCGTCAATGAGCCGGAAGCACGGAAAGGCTGGCGGCACCGCGTCGGCGTGAGGATACAAGTATCGGAGCTCCGGCGTGTACTCGGACCGGGCACCGACGAAGCGAGAGAGCTCGGCGCCGCTAGCACACCCCCGTGCGAGGCGTCGCGCTGCGGAGGCTGCGCGCCGCGAGCCCAGCATGGGTGCACAGCTCGTTTTTGTCCTTTGGCAACATTTTTTTGCACCTCGACTCGCTGAGCTGTGAGCCCTTTCAGAGCGGTGTTTCGACACCGATATCGTTCAAGGGATGATCCCGGCTCTCCGCTGTTTCAAGAGAATAAGAGAAAGCTTAAGTGCCGCAGTTGTGCTGTCCACCGACTGGCGGCGTGACACGTCACTCAGTAGCCGCAACTTTCTGCACGAGATCGGCTCTACTCCATGATCCTTTCTTGCTTCTCTCTGCTGCCGCCGCGCCCCTTCATCGCTCTCCTCGGCCTCGTCTGCGACGACGCCGACGTCTGCCGGGCCCTTGCTCTCGCCTCTCGGCGCAACGTCGTTCTCTCCCGGCAACAATGGCGGTCCATTCACAGATAGGTTGTTGGCCGCTCTGTGTAGCACGAGACCTCGAGAGAAGGCCGCCCGGAGGCGGAGGGCCCAAGTCACGAATTGGCTTTCTTTCGGCGGGCAAGATAGGTTGAGGTTGAACACATCGCACACAGTGAGGGTGTGAAAGGCAAACCTAACCAAGGTCCACATCTACATCTCTTCACAGAAAAACATCTCTTCACACGAAACACAACCCCGGTTCACAGCCTTGTTATGAGAAGAAAATACCTCCTATGGCGCTATGCGCTGGTCTGTGAGAGGTTGAGGTGCGAGCCCTGGAGGCCCTGGGGATGGGGGGAGACTACCCGCGGGCCTAGAAGGCCCGCGCGCAGGCCTTCTAGGCCCGCGGGTAGTCTCTTCACAGGCACAGATCAGCTGGAGGCGCTGTCAGAGGAACTCGAGGGAGAGAGATTCACACATCGGCGCGAGCCGGCAGACGCTGCGCTGGCTCGGCGAGGGCGTGCGCGTGCCGTGGATCGGTTCGCAAAAGATGGCGGTCTCCCTGTGGCTAGCCTTGTTCACCGCCTGCGTCGCGATTCTGCTGCCGCTCCTTCTGTGGCGGCTTGGCCGTCGCCCCGCCGCCAGCGCGGAGCCAGGCCCGGCGGCCACGGCGGGAGCAAGCCCTCGGGCTGCGTACCGGCACCCGACAGAGCTGCGAGCGACACTGGAAGAACCCGGGCTGTTGGCCGAGGCTGCACGGCAGAAGGAGCAGGGCAACGAGATGCTCGCAAACGGGCTCCTCGACGCGGCGACGCAGTGCTACCTCACCGCCCTCTGGTTCCTCCGGCGAGGCTCGCCAACCTACCCCAAGGCGCTAAACTTGCAGGTCGCGCCCGCTGGAGAGGCGGCCGCGAGCCTGCTAGGAGGCGGGCGCGTCTCGCCTGACCAGCCGACTCTGGGCCGGCTGTCGCGTCTGATCGTGCTGCTGCGCGGCGGCGGCGGCGGTGGAAGCGGTGGTCGCGGTGGCGGCGATGGGCTGGACGGCGAGGCGGCAGAGGCCCTCCGAGTGGCTCTGCACCTGAACGTGGCCGCCGTGGCGCTGCGGAGGGAGGACTGGTACCTCGCCGCGGCAGCGTGCAGGTGGGTGACGGAGCGGCAGCCCGCAAACGCAAAGGCGCTCTACCGGTTGGGCGTCGCGCAAGAGGGCAGGGGCGACTCGCCCGGCGCGTTGCGCTCGCTCGCCGCATGCGTCAAGGCGGAGCCGCAGAATCGCGAGGCGCGCCGGCTCTTTGAGCAGCTGCGCGACGAGGCGGAGCAGCGCCGCTCGCTCTACAGCGGCATTGGCGGCCGATCGGGCTTCGGAGGCTCCGATGCCCCGCCGCCGCCGCCGCCGGGGCCGGAGAGGGAGGATGAGCTGACGCAGCGGATCCGCGCGTTGCTGGAGAAGGAGGCGAAGGAGGAGAACGAAAAACTGCGCGCGCAGGCCGATGCGGAGGCGCGCGAAGCGTCGGGGATGCCGCCGACAGCGCGAGAGGAGGCAATGCAGAAGGCGCGCCAGGGAGCTGGTGGGGAGGCGCTCCTGAAGTAAGGGTAGCGCGGCGCCTAGAGCTAGACTCTACGGCTAGACGAAGAGCTTGTGCCCCTGGGAAAATATACATAAACACGGTATTTAGGCGTTGACCACTCGCGAATCTCGATAACAAATGCAGGCGAACAATATGAATATCGAACAAATGTGTGTGAGACGGGAGGTGCGAGGGCCGAGGCGCGAGGGGGGTGCGGGTGTGTGGGGGGGTGCGCGGGCGGGTGCGGACGATGGGGCTTCGTGTATCGTGACGGGTCGCTCGGGTGTGTGCGCTGTGGGTAGTGTGGGGGGGGGGCGCGTCGGCGCGCTAGTTATAAGATATAACACCCTGTCGCGGTCGATACGGCAATTAGCCTTGTGCTTTACGTAATTCTTTGATACAAACATTTCTCGTATTCGTTTTTAAAATTAAATTATTCGAGCCAATCCCCCGTTTTGGAGATGGTGTGTGTGACGATATGGAGGTGAGAGACGAGGCCTTCTTTCGCACGGAGCCTACACGCACCGATCGTCCTCCCACACAACGTAACGGGTCGATCACGGCTCGGCGTCCGCGTCGTCGTCGAAAGAGGGTGCGACGAACTGGTCCTCCTCGAAGGGCACCAAGGTCGGCTCGGCGCGGCGCGGCGCCACCCGCGGGGAAACGGGCGCGACCGGCGGCGCGGCCGGCGCCGCCTCCGCGGCCTCGCCATCGCTGGCGAGCTGCTGCAGCCTACCACGGGCATTGGCACACGGGGGCGGTGAGCCGCAGCCGGTCCGGCGTTCGGCCGGGCGCTGCCGTGCGCACCGGTGGCGCAGCCGCTCGGTCTCGTCGGCGAGCTGTGAGCAGCGCGTCTCGAGGAGAGGCAGCTGCTCCATCTTTATCCGCTCGGCGCCGCGGCAGTAATAGGCGGTCCACGGCCGCACCGCGCCGGGGTCGATGTGCAGCGTGGTGTGGGCGCCAGGCGCGTAGCTCTGGTTGACGAACCGCGGCTCGGAGAGCGCTGGCCAGAGCGGCAGCGTGGGCGGCAAGTCGGCTCGCTGCCGTTCGCAGTTGCCGAGGAGCGTGCCGTGCAAGCAGCTGGTGAGGTGGTGAAGCAACTCGGCGAGGTAGAGCGAGTTGAACTCGAACGCGGACGGGAACTGCTCGCACAGCTGGTGCACGCAGTCGACGTACTGCAAGAAGACGGGCGAGGACTGCTCCTCCGAGGACTGCGCGCCGCGCTCGAGCGGCGCGATCGTGCCGCACCGCTTTGCGAACTGGTGGCCGAAGGAGAGCCACTCCTTGGCGACCAGCGTCTCGAAGCCTCGGCGCGTGCGGAAGGTCGGGTCGAGGGCGAGCTGCGCCAGGGCGGTCACCTGCGACGTGCGGTCCCAGCCATCCGAGCAGTGCACGACGACGGAGGCACGGTCGTGCTCGAGCAGCCGCGCGGCGTGGAGCGCGGCCCTGAGCACCATCCGCAGGTGCTCGAGCCACCCGCTCTTCTCGAGCTCGGGCATCGACGTCTCTCCCGCGGCCGCCTGCTTCTTGAGCACGGCCAGGAAGGCCTTGAGGGAGGACCGCATCGCGTGGATGTTCTCGATGTTCATGAAGGTGAGGCGCGTGGCCGCGTAGTTGGAGGCGTGCTCGTACCCCTTGCCCTTGACCTGGTTCACCTCGGCGTTCAGCTTCGGGCGGCAGTCGAGGATGTGCAGCGTGTCGCCGATCGGGTTCGTCTCTCCAATGGCGCGCAGCAGCGCCTCGTCGTCCGCTGAGCGCTTGTTGGCGACGCCGACCAGCGGCTGGGAGCAGCGGCAGATGGAGGCGACTCCAAACGCGTCCTTCCAGCAGAGGACGGGGAGCCGCCTGCCGGAGCGGAAGGCGGCGGCGCGCGAGAGCGCCTCGTCCGTGACCGCACGTGGCACCGCGAGCAGCCGAGGGTACGTGGCGCACAAGCCGTACTCGCGGTTGAGCGCCGTGACGCGCCAGTTGGAGAGAGGGTTGTTGAGGCCCTGCCGGTGGAACTCGGCTTCGGGAGACGTGCCCGGCGGGTAGTCGCAGAATGCGCCGCCCCTCTCGCCTGCTCTCGCCAGTGCTGCGGCGTGGGTGGCGGCGAAGAGGCGGTCGAATCCCGGGGCGCGTGACTCGCGGACGACAGCAGAGAAGCGGCCGAACGCGGCGGCGGCGACGAGCACGCGCAGAGCGGGAAGCGCTCCATACTTTGGGTACACCTCGACCTCGATCTCGGGGTCGGCGGCAGGCGGCGGCGGCGGCTCGCTGCCTCCGCGGCCATTGCTGCGCGCGGTCTGGTGGTACTTTGTGAACCGATCGATCGAGTAGAGCGGGAGGGAGACGAGCGGCCACGAGAGGGGCGGATCGTCCCCCGGGCTGGCGGCGGCGGCCGCCGCGGCGGTCGACGATGCCTCCCACACCATCCGGAAGGAGGTCACAAAGAGCCGCCCTGCACAGCGGGTCCCGGCGGCGGTGCCGTCTCCCGCGCCACCAAGCTGGAGCGCGGAGATGGGTGCGGCGGCCATGCGCTCGCCCGGCAGCAGCCCCGTCGGTGCCGGATGCTCGCGCGGCGGAACCATCCGCAGCCCTCCATTGGGCGGCGTGAGCGGCGGTGGCGGGTGAGCGGCGGGCGACGAGGCGGCAGGCAGCGAGAGCGGGTCGGTGACACCGACCACGGTGGCGGCTGCTGGGACCACGACGGACGGTGCGCGGGATGGGGTGGGCGCCCCCGTACGAGGAGGTCCCAACGGCGTGGCGTCCGGCGGTAAGGCCTGCAGCGATTTTGCGGCATCGTCGTGCGGCGGCGGCGGTGGCGGCGGCGGCGGCGGCGGCGGCGGCGGCGGCGGCGGCGGCGGCGGCGGCGGCGGCGGCGGCGGCGAGTCGTCGTCGGCAAAGAGCGATCGCGGAGCGGTCTTTCGCGTTGACGTGGGGGCGAGGCCGAGTTGGCTGAGCAGCGACTTGTCGGACTCGGTGGACATCACAATACTCTGGCGCGCTGTGAATGGTAGGGATACGTGACAGAGGGCCACGCCCTCGCTGGCGGCGGCGCACCGCCCAGGACGCTGCCTCTACCTTGCCATCGGTGGCGACCGTGTCCAGGGGAACAAACAAATCGAAACTCGCTCCGCCGTCAGGGGCAGCAGCGCACTCCCTTTTGGCCTGCCGAGGCGGCTCTCGCGGATTTACTCAATGCGCACCTCATCTCCGAGGAGCGTCCTGAACGCCGAGCCTCGAGCAAGGGCCTGTGACGACGCTCCGGTGTCGTCGCTGCTCTGCTCGCGCGAAACGGCCAGCGGCCGGCACGCCGCGAGCGCTGAGGCGCGGTTGCTGCGTTGGTCGATGGGGAGATGGATGGCACCTCACGGGCTCCAGTCTGGATACTGCGCGCTGAGTGGCGCCAAGTCGACGATCGCCCTCGCCTTTTCCACCGACGGCACGTACTTTGCCTCCACGCATGGCGACCACACCGTCAAGGCCCGCCGCGTCGCCTCGCCCGCGGCTGGTGCGCCCGTTCACATGCTAAAGCCCGCGCGCGCGCGCGCGTCGCGACAGGTGTTTGACTCGTCATCGTGGGCCATCCGGTGTGCACCGCTGCCTCCCTCTTCCCGCGCCTCTCCCTCGAACCACTCCGGCGCCTTCTCCCGCCGCCCCGCCGCCCGCTCATCCCCTCCCCCGCCCCTCTCCGCGCCTCAGCGCTGTTCTCACGGGCCACGAGCGGACGCCGTGGACGGTAAAGTTCCACCCGCGCTCGCGGCGCATCCTCGCCTCGGGGTCGTTGGACCAGTCGGTGCGCACGCCGGCCGACACCCGGATTGCACACAGGGGAAATGGAGCCACAACCCACCAGTCGTGCACAGGGGACAAGACATCACACTCCCACCCAGCCACACGCCTCGACACACAACACGTCTCACGAATGCCACGGGGGCGGTCGGTGCAGCACTCCCCCCGCCCCTTGGGCCACCCCGAATGACCTGGCGGCGACACACATACTCTGACGGACCTCGCTCCGCACTTAAGACCCCCCCCCCCCCCCCTCTGGCAGGTCCGGGTGTGGGACATTGAGCGCGCCGAGTGCATCGCCCACCACCACTTCCTCTTTGTCGTCTCGTGCATCTCCTTTCACCCCAGCGGCACCCGTGAACCTAGATGCACACGTCCGACCGCAGCGGAACCCCGGCCTTGGTCCTCTTGGAAGGGCCTTCCCTAGACACTTCCTAGACACTTCTGGACACTTCCTAGACACTTCCTAGACACTTCCTAGACGGGCCTTCCCTGCCCTGCCCCACTCGTCCCCACTCCCGTCTTCACCGCCCTGCCCGATCCTCCCCGCCCCGCAGGGAACATTCTCGCAGTCACCTCGGGCGCGCGCCCAGCGGGAAGTGTCTAGGAAGCTTCATTCACTCCGTCTCGTCTTGACCGCGTTTGAATCGCCGTGAACGTAGGCAAGCGCATCTCCGTGTGGAGGTGGGATGCCTCGCCCCTCCCCCCAACGCCTCCCGTGCAAGCCCCCCCCCCCCCATCAAAAAAA